CGGCCGCTTCGGACGTGCTTTGTTCTTTTGGGTGGTCTTGTTTGGGTTCAAGCTAGGAGCAGTGCAACATGCCTTAACGCTTAGGGTTTTCTTTTCTTTTGTGTTTAGGGCAGGTTGTGAATCTACCTACGCGGTGGCCGTCCTAGCCTTCAAGCTTGCTGTTTCATTTGAAACCCACCCACCCACCCTGCACTGCCTTACACAAGGCTCTGCAATGAGAAGTTGCAGACGCTCTGCGCTTCCGTTCATGGTCTCCGGACCTCTCGGTCTCCGGACCGCTCACGGTCTCCGGACCTCTAGGTCTCCGGACCGCTCATGGTCTCCGGACCACATGGTCTCCGGATCATGCAGGTTTGGGCAAGCCGCAGCTTGCCCTCTCCTGACCGCAGACCCCGGTCTGCTGGGCGTGGGCACGCATGCCACGCCATGCACGCACTGCATGCATTTGCAAGGACACGCATTGTCTTGCCTTGGAGTTTCACGGGGGGTCAACGCACCTCCTGCTCCAGGCGCACCCGTGCCCTGGAAGCAGTGCTACTTTCAGCAATCCCGGTAAAAAGAACTGCGGCCGCTTCGGACGTGCTTTGTTCTTTTGGGTGGTCTTGTTTGGGTTCAAGCTAGGAGCAGTGCAACATGCCTTAACTGCCCAGATATTATGCCCGGAATGTGGAAGGCAATTACTGACCATTTATGCTTATGGGCCGAGGTTGCAACTAATTGCACAAAAGCAGGGCCATGCGGTAGTAAAAAGTTTGTTTACCCCGAGGCTGTGTTGCCTGGGAATGCAGACGCTGTGGCATGTTTGTCCCTCGGCAGTCCCTTAGGGTGCCATGAAGTGCCCGTTGTTCGGCCCGTCTCCACGATGGTCCCACGCCCTTCAGCTGATCTTGGACAGGATGTTGGCCAGCTGGGCGCAGCGCCCCTTCCAACGAAGCTTGGGCCGAGCATGTGGTCCACGCTGAAGGGCTTTGGTCGGAGAGGCGGGCGGCGAGGTGGGCCGCCGCGTCGGGGAATTGCTGGCGCAGCTCGATTTAAGAATCAGCCGGTTGCCGTCGTAGGCGACGCTATCAGGACGCACGCGTTGCGTCTTGATCAAAACTTTGATGTCTCATGACACATCTGTAAGGACGCGTTCCTCAACAGCACACACCGATGCCTTGCATCTTGTGTTGGTTCGATATCTCCCCGTTTCGTTTCACACCCCGTGGTAACACACCTTGTGAACAGGTTGAACACGCGTTGTTAACCTGGGGGGTATTTGTGCAGGCTCTGCGTTGGGGATGCAGGTGAAGGGGATAGACACGCTTTGTTCCTCCTGCATCCCTGAGCCTGGACTTTTGAGCAACGCCCAAAAAAAAGGAGCGGAACGATTGTGTCGGTCGGGCTTATGGTTTTTATGGCTTACTCCCTCTTGGCTTGAAGCAGTGAACAGGATTCTAACTTTGCTGATGCACAGCCGCCGGGACGTTTAAGTGACTTTTTGTGACAGTCCAGGAATACTGCGGCAGCTAAATACAGAGCTGGATCGGGAGCGAGCTTCGCAGTACGCCCATATTGCCACAGCACGCGACGATCTGGCGCACTGCGGGGTCGCTTCCAATTTCCGTGAGCGTGTACGAGTTTGCCCGGCGCTGGTCGTCTCTCGGCCACGCTAGCCATGGTGTTTTCGCGGAGCTTTTCATGATAACAGAGGCATTCACACTGTCTGGAACTTGCTATGGAGGAATGCTCTCGTGACTTTGTTCTCCGAGCTATTTCTTTGCGAGTAGCTACGATCACTGCGAGTTGTGCAGCCAACAGATTGCATTTCTCGTATCCGTATTCAGTACTTCCCTTTTCTTACTGTTTCGTTGGTGCGGATTCAGTGGTGCATTGAAGAGCTTGCTTCGACACTTCGTGGATTTGATTTTCCGTACATAGATGTTTGCGCGGCGTTGAATTTTGGGCATTTGTTTCACCCGAATTCGGTTTCACTTAGATGTGCTTCGGCTCTCTCTCCTACCGATGTTGGTCAGTTGAGACTCCTGTTTCCTGGCCTTGTTTTTGAGTCTTGTGCTGATTGGCCGAGTTGTTTTCAGCTGGTTTGTTGAGGCATCTGTCTCCGAACTCGACAAATTGTGGCCCTTACGTGGCTTTCGATGTTGGAGTTGCTTGGAGTTCTCGATTTTTTTTGTGGGTGTTGTGTGTGCTTGTGCTGTGGCTTGTTGGTGCTGTGATTTCTTTTCAGTCTTATCATTCTTTGCACTTAAACGGCGGACTGGCGATATCGCAATGGCCGCGCGGTTCAAAGAAAAGGTTGGTGGCCTGGTTGGACTCAAACTGGACAGCATGCCAGCTTTCTGGTGGTTGCTGTCAATGCATTGTTTTTCCACCTGATTGATGTGAATAGAGTTTGCTTAGTATCATTCGTTCACTCAGGCCTGACTGAATACTCCTCTGTTGATGTCGCCATGCGTTTGTCCGTTTGACTTGCGGTGTGGCACTTTCTACTTCACATGTTTGGTTACACACTGTTTTGTGTTGGTGTTTTTGTGTTTTGACTGTTTTGTTGGTTTTGTGTTTAGTGTGTTGAATATTTTTTTTTGGTTTGTTCCAGGCTGGCAGGTTTGTATCGTGCCCTGTGAATGGCGTGGGTAGGTGTTCACGTCGGGTAGGCGTTGGGTATGTTGGTTGCTTCTGCTCGTTGGTTGGTTTCTTGGATGGTGTGCAGGGGTTTAGTGGGTTTTGTGGGTTTGGTGGGTGGGTTGTTTTGTTGCTTGGCTGGTTTTGTTACTCATGCCAACCTTGCAATGGTTCTCCACATCGTTTGAGCGAGTGGCTTTGAGCTTGGACGGATAGCACCACTTATTCGACCCACAGCGAGCATCGGAGCCTTTTAAGCAGTCGAATCAGTGACGACGGTTTTATCCGCAAATCCATGCCCATCACTTCGGAGGGAGCAGATTTGGAGATTGTTCGGAAGGCTGGGCCCGTTGTCGCGTTTTCGTGTTGCGCGGCCGATTGTGCAACGGCTTTGACGTGCATTTGGACATGTCGCATGCCATGCTTGCGTGTTTCACATACCATTCGCAGGTGGATGACATCATCCAGCAGTACGAGGACGGGGACGGGGAAGGCTTTCTGCTTGCACAATCTTTGCCGCGGCCCAGACTGCAGCAGCACAGCTACGGCAGCTGAGCCGCAGACCACAGGCAGGGTTTTTTTTTTCTCCCTTTTTTCCGGTGAGGGTTTGCTTAGTAGTTTCAGTCGTATCCCGCATCCAAAGCGAATTGACCTTTGAACATTTTGGATGTCCTTTTGTGGTTCATTCTTCCAAAAGGTCCAAGTTGACAAGGGTTGCCCCAAGAAGCACACATCTGTTGGGCAAAACATGTTTCTTGTTTTTTGGGAACATGAGTGCCCTCACAAGAAACACAGTTTCTGCTAGAGGTGGACGGCATCACGGGGTACCATGAGTTCGAGACCCTAGCTGAGGCTGGAACTAGGCTTCACCCCGGTTAGTTTTCTTTGCCCCGGTATGTTTCAGACATCCTCAGCTGTGAGTTTTACAAGTCGTGAACATACCTCGGGTTTGGCGAGTTTGACCGAGCGGGATGACACGATCTTGGGGCTCCGGTTCAGGCCTACGAGGCCAGGGTGCAGAGATTCCGGGAGGCGAGGCCGAATGCATTTGCGAACCAAGCCGCCGATGGCATTTTCAGGTTGCCAAGATGCTGCGGCAGCCCCTTGGTGCACCCCTGTGTGCAGCACAGCAGGAGCAGATTACTTGGCGCCATGGCCACTCCAAATCTTCCAACTTGGCGACTTGTTGGCCTTTTGTGCATGCCAGGATGCGCTGCTTCGGTTATCCTTGGGCACGACATACGAACCGTGATGCCCCGAGTATGCTCACCACTTTAAGTCGCGCGCACTCTTGCCGAGTCTTCACAAAAGTTTGGAAGCTGCACTCCGTTTTATTTGACACTGCTCCCCACCCACCAGCAGTGAGATTGTCATTGTTCGGAGGCAGGTTCCAAGACACAGTTTCGTTCTTGACATGAGGTGTTCTTTTTTTGTGTTTGCCGAGGGCGGTGAAGGTTGCCGAGGCAGGTCTTCTGTATGAACGACTGCACTGAACTGCTCTCGGGTGGCCGCAAGAAAAACGACAGGTCGCGCGACAAACATTGGGCGGCGGCGGTGTTGCTCCGGTCTAAGTCGTTGTGGCAATCACTTGCATGCCCCACCCGCGGCCGGTAAGTAGATTGTCAATCACAATGGTTCTATGCCAACAACGCGGGTTATCCCGGTTATGGCCGAGGTTATAATCTACTTACCTAGGCCGAACGTCCAAGTATGCGAGAAACAAACATGTCTTGTGGTGTGCAGCTCAGGGCTGTCTCTAAGCTGGCCATTCCCAGTCTGAGCTCAGATGACAAACTGTTTCACTGCTACATAAAACAAGCGCTGATGATGGGTGCAGTCGCTCCCCTGCAGAACATGGAATCCAAGCAAAACCCTTCTAGAGGAGCTCCTGTTGGGGCACCCCTTGTCGGGTTCCATGATCATCGGGGGAGCATTGCCACGCAGCCATGGATGAATTGAACGTGAAGGATTGCGCGTCTGGCTTGAGACTCAATCAGCCCAGAGGCCAAGATGTATATTTCGATCTCCTTTCTCTTCAGACTTCATAGTGCTTCATGGCAAGCATGGTGATTCGGGGGTCTTTTACTTGGAAATCTCTTGAAAAACAGGTGTTGAACTTGTAGTATATTTTGCGAAACGACGCATCCGCCATGTTATGTAAGATTCGAGTGCAATCGTTGGAACACGAAGTGACCGTTTGAAGAGTTACGGGCGTCTTCACGTGTGAGCTTGCATGCTCCTAAACACCTCAACGCCGTACCGGCAGAAACATATGGAAGCACAGGGAACCATAAGGAACCAAGGCATTCACATGGAGCCACGAAGGAAACATAGAGAACCCGATCCGAACCGACTCAGCACTTGTGCTGATTTGTGCAATGGCGCCCGACCTTCTCAAGGAGAACCATTATGCTTGGGACGCAGAGCAGTTTTAAGACGGAGGTGCTGCATCTTTCCTGCTTTCTTCTTTTTCACAGGGGAACCCCCCCGAAATTGATCAGCGTCAAGGACCAAAAAGGAGGCGATGGAAATCCGCTCTCGTGATCTTGCCACTGGAAGATTTTGGGTAGGACCAGCGACCAAGACATGAAGTTTTTGGGGAATGAGCGACTTATCTCCAGCTAGCTCTGCTAGGCAACTCTTGGCCTGCCCTTTGGGGCCTCAGAGGAGGAGATCCGCAAAGCGCAACCTGGATCAAAGTCCGATCCCATCCCAGGTTTTAACATCAGAGAAGCGAGGTTAGTTGTGGGCTATCAAGGGAGCCCGTGTGGGCTAGGAATGGAGGATTAGACAAAGAGATACAGCACATCAAAGGTTCACAGAAATCTCGCATGGGTTTATTATCATAGTCCTTTTTACATGGTATCTATCCCTTTGATCATCTGTACAAACAAGACATGCTATGATAGAAACCAAGATGCCGGATATGAATGAAGAATTCCTCAGCCTAGTATTACTCAAAATAATATTATATCTTTATCAATTCGTTTCTTTATTACTAACTTTTGGTTGCATCCACAATTCACTATCCACGATTCACTGCGAGACAGAGTTTGATCAGATAGGAAAGCATCTGGATATAAGACAATGAACGAACATAGGATGGACATACTCTCAAGATGAGAATTACAAGGAACAATGGGCATAATGGCAAACACGATGATGAACAAAGCCGCAAATTCAGGGACGGATAATATTAATCTGACTTGCAAATCTATTATCTATTGGGTTTTATTAAACTGAATGCCCCCAATCCAAGGGTTTTTGGATTAAACGCACCCAATTGGCTTCAAGTGAAACACACTATTTGTTTCCTTTTTGGTGGCATGCTAACAAAAGGACAAGGCAACCCAGTGGATGAGAGCGGAACATGTTTTCTGTAAAACTTGTAGACCATCCGCTTGTGTCCTTGCGAATCAACCATCAGGATTAAGACAACAGACGCGGTTTGGAGGCTTTTATCCTGCTTTGGCAACTGAACTGTGCCAGCATAGCGGTAGACGTAGCCCTGCACCTGAAACACAAAGGAGGGCCACTTTTTGTGAAAGGAAGTTTAGCAAGAACTTCCGTGGTACTGAATTAGTTGAGTGCGCTTTCTTTGAGAATAGGTGCATTGTGCATGAACAAGTTCAGAGAAATCCAGCAAAACAGGAGAACTGGGGGGCAAAACACATCGTCCAGTGCATGAATTCGGCCATGAATTCGGCTCTTCCGCATGCGCCAACCACCTCGGTCTCGATGCTTTGCCCCGGTGAACCGGTGAACCCTCTGCGGTCCATGGGGTCGACCTTCAAGAACAGCATCAGCGTCTTTCACTTCGCTCGCAGCCTTGTGCGGAGCTGTCAAAAGGTTCGCGTCGGCCAAGCTAGCAAAGACCATGAGCTAGCTGACAAGGCAGGTCACCAGGAGAGCAGCTAGATAGCTAGCTAACCTAACTTCGGTTGGTTCAAACTTAAGCAAGCCGCAAAGACTCTAATATCACACTTCGGCCAACCCCAAACCCACCCTGAACCGACTCTAAAGCAATCCTTAAACTATCCTCAACCAACGGCATATTGGCATCCAAACCTAATCTACTGAGGCATATTGTGAGAGCTGTTTACTTTGGGTTTTAGGGTCAGACACCATCCAAGTTTTTCTTTTTGCCGTGACGCGAGATCTCGAGTTTTCCAGGTATTTGGAGACCATGCGGCTGCATCATCCCGACCGGTGCCGCGAGACCGCTGAAAGCCGAGCGCGCTTTCTTGAGGCCTGGATCGTGCCCTGGAGATGTCTCATGGGAAAAATTCTCGTTCGTCCGGAAATTGGACTCTCGGTCATGTAGATATGCTTCAAGGTCTGACTGAAACACAGCACCATCAGCAATCTGACTGTAAATAATTCCTTCAAATAAGCTGAACTTTAATTGCTGAAATTCAATTACAGGCACAGGACAACTGCCGCTTCTCCAACAATCATGGTGGACAGCTGTCTGTCTTGGAATTCGGAGGACGGTCGCTCAGATCCGCTCCCATAAGGAGGGTAACATGGAACCTGAACGGAGGTAGCTGGAACGAGGTTTCCTCGCGGGATCCTCTGAGTGCCGGAGGGCAATGTGTGCGTTTTACATTTAGGCACCTGCCATGCCAGTGGACTCGAATCGCGACGGGTGGCTCCAAAATTCGGGGAAACATTTTTTGCTTCGGTGTGCGCCGGTGAGACCGCCAGCTGTTTCGTCAACTTTTAGCCATCTACCGGGGTTTCAGCTTGGGCCCCCTGGTATATTCAGCCACTCGAGGGGGAACCGGAAGGAAAGTAGCTTTGACAGGTGCAAGCTGCCTGGCGCTGTCTCTCCAACTCCACGCGGAGGAGCCTCGCTTCGGTTTTCGTTGCCATGTGATGTGGGGCAGTGTAGAGGAAGGTAATCTGGTCTAATGTAACGCAAGAGCAAGTGGGATGTATTGTAATGTAAAGAGTATTATATGTCTATATAAAACAAATCATGTATGTATAGATGTAATGTATTGTATGTATGTAATGTAATGTAACGTAACGTAACGTAACGTAATGTAACGTAATGTAATGTAATGTATGAATGTATGAATGTATAATATTGTATTGTATTGTATTGTGTTGTATTGTATTGCATTGTAATGTGTTGTATGTATGTATGTATGTGAGTATGCATGCATGCATGTATGTATGTAATGTAATGTATGTATGTATGTATGTATGTAATGTAATGTAATGTAATGTATGTAATGTAATGTAATGTAATGTAATGTAATGTAATGTAATGTAATGTAATGTAATGTAATGTAATGTAATGTAATGTAATGTAATGTAATGTAATGTAATGTAATGTATGTATGTAATGTACAATGTTTTTATGTATGTATGTATGTAATGTATGTATGTATGTAATGTAATGTAATGTACTGTAATGTACTGTAATGTAATGTAATGTAATGTAATGTAATGTATGTATGTATGTATGTATGTATGTATGTACGCATGTATGTATGTATGCATGTAATGTAATGTAATGTAATGTAATGCAATATAATGTAATGTAATGTAATGTAATGTAATGTAATGTATGTGTAATGTATGTATGTATGTAATGTAATGTAATGTAATGCAATGTAATGTAATGTAATGTAATGTAATGTAATGTAATGTAATGTAATGTAATGTAATGTAATGTAATGTAATGTAATGTAATGTAAGTGTAGTGTAATGTAATGTAATGTAATGTAATGTAATGTAATGTAATGTAATGTAATGTAATGTAATGTAATGTATTGTAATGTAATGTATTGTAATGTAATGTAATGTAATGTAATGTAATGTATGTATGTATGTATGTATGTATGTATGTATGTATGTATGTATGTATGTATGTAATGTAATGTAATGTAATACTGTAATGTAATGTAATGTAATGTAATGTAATGTAATGTAATGTAATGTAATGTATGTATGTATGTATGTATGTTTGTATAATATTGTATTGTATTGTATTGTATTGTGTTGTATTGTATTGCATTGTAATGTGTTGTATGTATGTATGTATGTATGCATGCATGCATGTATGTATGTAATGTAATGTATGTATTTAATGTAATGTAATGTAATGTAATGTAATGTAGTGTAATCTAGTGTAATCTAATGTAATGTAATGTATGTATGTATGTATGTATGTATGTATGTATGTATGTATGTATGTATGTATGTATGTAATGCATGTATGTATGTATGTATGTATGTATGTATGTATGTATGTATGTATGTATGTATGTAATGTAATGTATGTATGTATGTATGTAATGTAATGTAATGTAATGTAGTGTAATGTAGTGTAATCTAGTGTAATCTATTGTAATGTAATGTATGTATGTATGTATGTATGTATGTATGTGTGTATGTATGTATGTATGTAATGTATGTATGTATGTAATGTAATGTAATGTAATGTAATGTAATTTAATGTAATGTAATGTAATGTAATGTTATGTATGTATGTAATTTATGTATGTCTGGCAATGTAATGTAATGTAATCTAATGTATTGTAGTGTAATGTATTGTATTGTAATGTAATGTAATGTATGCATGTATGTAATGTATGTATGTATGTATGTATGCACGTATGTATGTAATGTAATGTATGTATGTATGTATGTAATGTAATGTAATGTAATGTACTGTACTGTAATGTAATGTAATGTAATGTAATGTATGTATGTATGTATGTATGTATGTATGTAATGTATGTATGTATGTAATGTAATGTATGTATGTATGTATGTATGTATTAAAGTAATGTAATGCAATATAATGTAATGTAATGTAATGTCATGTGATGTAATGTAATGTAATGTAATGTATGTATGTATGTATGTAATGTATGTATGTGTGCAATGTAATGTAATGCAATGTAAGTATGTAATGTAATGTAATGTAATGTAATGTAATGTAATGTAATGTAATGTAACGTATGTATGTATGTATGGATAAATGAATGTATGTATTGTAATGTAATGTAATGTAATGTAATCTAATCTAATGTAATGTAATGTAATGTAATGTAATGCATGTATGTAATGTAAGTATGTATGTAATGTAATGTAGTGTCATCTAATGTACTGTAATGTACTGTAATGTATGCATGTATGTATGTATGTATGTGTGTAATGTATGTATGTAAGTATGTATGTAATGTAATGTAATGTAATGTACTGTACTGTACTGTAATGTACTGTACTGTAATGTAATGTAATGTAATGTATGTATGCATGTAATGTAAGTATTCATGTAATGTAATGTAATGTAATGTACTGGAATTGAATGTATGTATGTATGTATTGTAATGTAATGTATTGTAATGTCATGTCATGTAATGTAATGTCATGTAATGTAATGTAATGTATGTATGTATTGTAATGTAATGTAATGTAATGTAATGTAATGTAATGTATGTATGTATGTAATGTAAGTATGTAATGTAATGTAATGTAATGTAATGTAACGTATGTATGTATGTATGTATGTATGTATAAGTGAATGAATGTATGTATGTATGTATGTAATGTATGTATGTATGTATGTATGTATGGATGTATGTATGTATGTATGTATGTAATGTAATGTATGTATGTATGTATGTATTGTAATGTAAGTATGTATGTAATGTAATGTAATGTAATGTAATGTAATGGAATGGAATGGAATGGAACGGAATGTAATGTGATGCAATGTATGTAATGTATGCATGTATGTATGTATGTATTGTAATGTAATGTATTGTACTGTAATTTATTGTAATGTAATGTAATGTAATGTAATGTAATGTAATGTAATGTAATGTAATGTATGTATGTATGTATGTAATGTATGTATGTATGTATGTATGTAATGTATGTATGTAAGTATGTATGTATGTAACGTAATGTAATGTAATGTACTGTAATGTAATGTATTGTAATGTAATGTAATGTAATGTAATGTAATGTAATGTAATGTAATGTATGTATGTATGTACGTAATGTATGTAATGTATGTATGTATTGTAATGTAATGTAATGTAGTGTAGTGTAATGTAATGTAATGAAATGAAATGTAATGTAATGTATGTAATGTATGTATGTATGTAATGTAATGTAATGTCATGTAATGGAATGGAATGGAATGTAATGGAATGTAATGTAATGGAACGGAATGTAATGTAATGTAATGTACTGTAATGTAATGTAATGTGATGGAATGTAATGTAATGTAATGTAACGGAATGGACTGGAATGGAATGGAATGTAATGTATTGTAATGTAATGTACTGGAATGGAATGTAATGTAATGTAATGTAATGGAATGTCATGGAATGTAATGTATTGCAATGTAATGTACTGTAATGGAATGGAATGGAATGGAATGGAAAGGACTGTAATGGAATGGAATGGAATGTAATGTAATGTAATGTAATGTAATTGAATGGAATGGAATGTAATGTAATGTAATGTAATGTAATGTAATGTAATGGGATGGAATGGCATGGAATGTAATGTAATGTAATGGAATGGAATGGAATAGAATGGAAAGTAATGCAATGCAATGTAATGTAATGTAATGTAATGTAATGGAGTGGAATGTAAGGTAATGTAATGGAATGGAATGCAATGGAGTGTAATGTAATGTAATGAAATGGAATGTAATGGAATGTAATGGAACGGAACGGAACGGAACGGAATGGAATGGAATGGAATGGAATGTAATGTAATGTAATGGAATGTAATGGAATGTAATGGAATGGAATGGAATGGAATGGAATGTATTGTAATGTAATGCAATGTAATGGAATGGAATGGAATGGAATGGAACGTAATGTAATGTAATGTAATGTAATGTAATGTAATGTATGTATGTATATAATGTAATGCAAAGTAATGTAGTAGTAGTGTAATGTACTGTAAAGGAATGGAATGGAATGTAATGTAATGTAATGTAATGGAATGGAATGGAATGGAATGTAATGTAATGTAATGTAATGTAATGTATGTATTGTAATGTAATGTAATGTAATGTAATGTAATGCAATGCAATGCAATGCAATGCAATGTAATGGAATGGAATGGAATGGAATGGAATGTAATGTAATGAATGGAATGGAATGGAATGGAATGTAATGTAATGTAATGTAATGGAATGGCATGTAATGTAGTGTAATGTAATGTAATCTAATGGAATGGAATGGAATGCAATGTAATGTAATGGAATGTAATGGAACGGAATGTATTGTAATGTAATGTAATGTAATGGAATGGACTGTAATGGAATGTAATGTAATGGAATGTAATGTAATGTAATGGAATGTAATGTAATGGAATGGAATGTAATGTATTGGAATGGCATGTAATGTACTGTAATGTAATGTAATGGAATGGAATGGAATGGAATGCAATGTAATGTAATGTAATGGAATGGAATGGAATGGAATGTAATGTAATGTAATGTAATGGAATGTAATGTAATGTAATGGAATGTAATGTAATGGAATAGAGTGGAATGGAATGGAATGTAATGTAATGTAATGGAATGGAATGGAATGGAATGTAGTGTAATGTACTGTAATGTAATGTATTGTAATGGAATGGAATGGAATGTAATGTAATGGAATGGAATGTAATGTAATGTAATGCAAAGTAATGTAATGCAATGTAATGGAACGGAATGTATTGTAATGTAATGTAATGTAATGGAATGTAAGGGAATGTAATGGAGTGTAATGTAATGGAATGCAATGGAATGGAACGGAACGGAATGGAATGGAATGGAATGGAATGTAATGTAATGTAATGGAATGGACTGGAATGGA